TTAAATACTGTTTTCTTTTTATATGTTTATAGGATCATTTTAGTTACGTTCAGGACTCTGTTTAAAGCTGAGGTACGATAACCACTTCAATATTACAAGCCGTTTGTACTTCTATTATTTTTCTTTTATCCCTTAATAATAATAGAAAAATTAAAATTGAGAAGCCACCAAACTAGGATCAATCCTTTAAAAATGATCTTATCCACCAGAAAAATGCAGAGATTTTAAGCTGAAAAGCTGCTTTAGGGTGGTGGTGGTATGGGGGCACTCAAAAAGCAGCTGTTTTTTCTAGGATTGCAAACTTCTCTTCCAAGCACAATCCCTTATACCAGGGGTAGGCAACCTTGGCTCTTTATGACTTGTGGACTTCAACTCCCAGAATTCCTGAGCCAGCATGGCTGGCTCAGGAATTCTGGGAGTTGAAGTCCACGAGTCATAAAAGAGCCAAGGTTGCCTACCCTTGCCCTATACAATCCCACAAAAATAAGCCTCTGGTTGAACTTGCAGACAGATGCTTCCATATTCTAAAATACAAAATGCTGCATAACTCTAATATCCATGTTGCCCCTTTCAACTCTATTCACAAATTAATCACCAACAATAGCTAGAGACTCAGGAGTTAGGAAGAATACAATTCATGGCTTATAAGGAAGTAGTGTAATCAGGAAGTGTCAGTTAAATGACTTGCCAGCAAGCAAGACCGAACATGTGAACACCGTATCACTTCTACATATGCTGCTCTTTCAGGATTGTTTCCATGGGTATCAACTAAATCAGTCCATAATTACATTTATCTACTCTCCATTCAGAAATTGGAGGGGAGAAAGGAGTAAAAGAAATAACTTCTAAGTACTCAAGTTTGGAATTTTGCTTCAGTTGGGCCCAAATTATTTGCCTTGAAGTCCTGGGAGTACGTACATACATATGTACGTACATACATATGTCCTCGAAGCACGAAGCTGAAAGCACCAGCCTGAAGATGACAAATGGGACTTCGTCGAAACTTCGCCAAGACACTTCCAATTTTACGCGGGAGAAAACCCGAACAACCAAAGACCTCCATACATACATACATACATACATACATACATACATACATACATACATTTACAGTTGAATAGACCTAGTCCTATTAATTGCCTAATAAAATCTCCTTCTTCTTAACATGCAGCAGCAGCAGCAATGGGAGAACCTCTTTGACATATTCCCTTTTTGATGACTCTGTGATGTCTTAATTCAGCATTGAATTAAATTCCCTAAACTCTAGTGACCACAATCCCATGGTCCCTCAAGTTCTTGAAGCCTCACTGCAAAGCCTCCTCTTCCCTTGCCATCACGCTGCTAGTTACATCTGAGAGGAAGAAAGAGGAAGAGAGGGACCATTTCTGACTCTGTGGTTCTCAGTCCTCCTGATGTCACAGAGCATAATCTGAACATTTACAAGGCTTTAGGAGTTAAACAATTCCAAAGGCAAGTTGAAACGATTAGCAAGGAATCACTAAAAATAAAACTGAGGATGACTATCCTGTGTGCCAGTTGGGCCTGTTCGTGGATGAGGGGGCCTTGTCAAGATCACTAAAACCTTGCACCATTCAGAAGCTACAAATGGTCCAGAATAGAGTGGCATAGTATCGGTAGCTATTAGTGCACCCCTGTGACACTACTATTTTATGAGCTGCACTGGCTCTCAGGAAGCTTCCAGGTGAAATTTAAGATGCTGGTTACAACCCTTCTCATGGCAAAGAGCTTGACTCACCATGAGACTTAACAGATTAGAAGGCGAAAGGGCAGACTTTTTGGTATTTGTATGTGGGGAACAACTTCTCTAGAGCCTTTCCCAAAAGAAATAAATATACATAACTTCATCTTAAACAATTTATCCTCGAATCAAATGTTATTCCAGAGAAGCACATTCTTTCTTTTTCTCTTTTTCTCTGTAACAACATGTAAGTGATTTGTCATTGCCATATTCTGGAATATTCCTTCAACCTCTCCATTTAATTCAAAGCCTCCCATTCAAGCATCTGATCCTGCTTATTACCCAAGTCTAAGACAACAGATGGCCCTTGACTTATGACTGATGGCTTGACAGTTTGAAGTTATGACAGACCTCCGGGGGGGGGTACTTACAACCCAGATCCTAAGTTCCAATGGCCAGCCTGCCTCTCCCCCCCTATGGTCACATGCCACATGGTAGGTGCTAGGCAACATTTGCAGCATCCCGTGGTCATGTGACTGCAGTTTGCAACAGTTTTGCTGGAAACTGGGATTTACTTCCAGTTTTCAGCTAAATTGACCCACAGCAAAGAAAGACCTTGCTTTTCTACTGAGGTTAAAAATGGTCATAAAATTGGGTTGGTGATCTACTTTACAACTATCATGTCCAATGACTATGATGGGCAGTTCCATTACAATTGTTAAGTCAAGGACTACCTGTAGCCATATTTGACTAGCTGCTGCCATCACTGACAGATTGATAAGATTTGCATCTTGCCTTTGCTCCAGGAATTCAGGATAGCATACAACAACCCTGTGAGGTAGCTTAGGTTGAAAGTAAGTAGCCCAAGTAAGCTTCAGTTATGGAGTGGACTTGAACTTGAACTTTGATTGAGCTCAAGTTAAGAAGAGATGAACCTCATTAATACACAGCTGGGATACAATAGCCTCGACCTTGTTTTTAATGACATGTTGTACTAATCTGAAATTATACTTTAATCTGATTTGTTGCTCTAATGTAAGACATGTTACAATGACTATCTAAGAGGATAAGCCAGGTGACTGGCAACAACTGAGGACAGAGATAGGATAGGTATCAGCAATGAGGACAAACTTTCACACCATATAATTTTATGCTCCCTCGAGGATAGGGAAGAAGAGAAAGGCCCTAAAAGACTTGCAGAAAAATAAAATTCATTCCTCAATGCTGTCATCTCTGGCTAGCAGTGAACAACAAGAAAGCCACAAATTGACTCAAGATTATTGACTGATTTATCTAGGGCACTTCTGTATGGTGGCGGATGTGGTGAACAGAATGCTAGCAGAAGGCCGATACTGATTGTTGGTCAGCTGAGGCGAGCATTGGTGGATTCTGATGAGGGTTCAAAATAGCTGCCAGGAGGACAAATGGGGCTATTGTAGATCTGAAAGTTTGGGAGAGGTAGAAATGGGTAGTGATGTAGTGGTGCTTTCAATCCAGTCTCCTGGTTTCTGATATTTCACCTGATATTAACCCCATGATTTAACACCCATCTCTATAAGCGTAAGGAACAGAAACCCGATTGAAATTGAATTCTAGGAGGTTACATTTTGTGTTCAACACAGTACTGCAATATGCAGAGGCAGCAATAAACTGGCTATCAATGGAAACCGAACTGGAATCTATAGAAGCTATAAATATATGATCTTCTTCAAAGCAGTAACTTAACATTTTGGCAGCAAAATGAAAATGGCTTGTTAATGGATTTTTTTTCTGAGGTTTTTTTTTTTTTAATATCAGTTTAGTCTACAACTGTAAACAAGTGGAGGTATCCCATCCAAATACTGAACAATTACAACCCATTTCACTTTTGTGGCAGACATGGTTGCCAGATGCTGCCACCTACTGAGATCTTTAAGCTATAAAGTTGTTAGAATTCTGACATTCACATGTGAAGTAGCAAATAAAGAGGGAAGGAACAAGTGGCATCCTTCAAATCCTTATATTTTGATTTCAAAACATGTACAGGTAGTCCTCGACTTACGACCACAATTGAGCCCAAAATGTCTGTTGTTAAGTGAGACATTTGTTAAGTGAGTCTTGCCCCATTTTACGACCTTTCTTGCCAAAGTTGTTAAGTGAATCATTGCAATAAGTTAGTAACCTAGTTGTTATATGAATCTGGCTTCCCCATTGGCTTTGCTTGTCAGAAAGCTGTGAAAAGGGGATCACGTGACCCTGGGACACTGCAACCGTCATAAGCATGAACCAGCTGGCAAGCATCTGAATCTTGATCACATGATCATGGGGATGTTGCAAAGCGTGAAAAACATCATAAGTCACTTTTTTCAGTGCTGTTGTAATTTTGAACGGTCACTAAATGAGCTGTTGTAAGTCGAGGACTACCTGTACACAGTTCGACACTTTCTACATTTTTATTGCAAACACAGAGAAGACTGGAGACTTATGTCTGCCTCTAAAATAGAAATGTACATAGTGTGCCTGGAACAATAATCATATTATGGAGGATACAGAGGAATTATTGGAAGGATCAACCCAAAAGTGTGCCATGTGATTTTGTATTCACAACTTTACGAAGCGTACCTTTGTTTCTCAGGTTGGCAGGTCACTCTACTATGGAAAAATACTTTGTCAGAGCTGAGAAAAGTCTGCCTGAATTCAGTAAATTATATCTCCCTGCTTGCCTGTTGCTGACTGATGGACTAACTTAGGGAACAATATCAGAATCTGGAATATTGTCTGGACAAGTAGTCAATAGTGATGGAAAACATTGAATTTTTTGCAATTTAAAAATGCACAAAGTAAACAATTCTTCTCCTTCAAATTCCTACAAACAACCTTTTCCAACTACCGTAGATGCCCACCAGATTGATTGGAGAACAGCTCCCAGATTTCCTTTGCCAGTCTGCTACATATGGAGGGCAGGGTGTTGAGAAGGAGTAAAATACTGCCCCCCCCAACGATTTATCTATCTCAACGTATTCAAGTGGAAGAAGAATTTAGTGCTATGCCAGCAACTGCAGGCCACAAAACCACACAGATTTTCAAGTAGGAAGAAGTCCCTAAGCACAAACATAAACCAAAACTTGGAAATATTTATTCTCTGAAGAAAGGAATAAGGCTGGAGAAAAAAAAATGATTACCATAAAATGGAAGCAAACGTTTAGAAAATTATAATAAAATGTTATCTATTTCCAATGTTACCTGCCTCTACCCAGTCAGCCACTGGCTTTTTAGTAGAAGCCCTAAAACCTCTTCCCATGACAGTTGACAAGATGCTTACCATTTGTTTTTGTTTCGGAGTAAGAAGGATTCTCCTCAAAAGTAAAAATTTGGGGAACACAGGCAGGGCCCCCAACACTTTGTCCCAAGTAAGAGCCGGAGGGATAGTAAGAATGCATCCTGTACTGGGAACTCAAGCTGTGCCGACCTTCTGGGCTTTTCACCTGTTAGGAGAAACAGCAAAGAGCACATCATACAAGCATGCAAAGAGAAAACCTACATTGGATGGGGGCAATTTTCCTTACCCCATAGTATATTTTTGGCTTATTGCCATGCTTTCCTCCCACTGAATTCATCCCTGGAACTCTCTGCCTGAGAACATTAAACCTGAAATGTTTATTTTCTTCTTATGTCAACAACTTCAGTGTTATTTCTAGAAAGCCATTTTGAAGCCTGAAGTGGTTCCCAGGTCTTCACAGAAGTGAAATGCACCTCGTAAAGGCTAGCCCGCCGACAACACTATTCATATTTATCTTTCTACAGTTTTTTCCCCATTTTTTATGATTGTAAGCCGCCCAGAGCTACCCTGAGGTAAGATGGGCGGCCAACAAATTTAATAAATAAATAAAAATGTGATTGCTGCTGCTCATGATTTTGCAGATTTTGGATTGTGCTTCCAATGTCTCCAGCCCTTCTTTGATTAGCAAGGAGGAGGAGACCCAAGTCGCATGAGAAAAGAGCTAAGGCAGGAGTGTTTTCAATTCTCTTCCAAGCAATCCAGTTTCCAACTTTCACATGACGACACCACTGTAAAAAGATCTGTTGTCGCCAGTAAAAAACGAAGTAAGGATACACATACTGCCCTGATTCCTACCTTTTGTACAGTATTCAGTCTCTCAAACTGATCAATACTTTATTGCAGGGCTGTCAAACAGGCAAATTATTTATTCTTGGGCAAAGTATTTTCCGTGTGCGAGAAAATATAAGCGGTTTACAAATTTAAGACAAGAGGCGTAAAAACACCAAGCGAAGCCTTAATTTCGGAATGAGGTATCCCATTTCAAACCCGAATCTTCCCTTAGACAAGAAGACATTCCGGTTGCATGAAAACAAAGGATTTGTACATCTCAGATGAATATGTTACAGAACTTGTCCGAACCAGGAAGATTTAAAATGTTCACACTTCCAAACTGCAGAGTGCAACTACAGCAGTGGTTCTCAACCTTTTTAATGCCGCGACCCCCAACCGATCGTAAGTCAAGGACTACTCAACCGGTCATAAGTTGAGGACTACTCAACTGGTGCAGCACCGTTTGCAGAATGGGACTTTTGGCGGGCTCAGCAGGGCAGAGACAGCCTGGACAATTCCTATTGGCTTTTGAAAGCCAATAGAATTAGACTCTATTCAAGAGAGTCTATTCTATTGGCTTTCAAAAGCCAATAGAATAAAAGGGAGTAGCACAGCTAAGGAAAAGGAGGAAAAAAATGGCGGACTGCGTTGTTTGGCGACCCACGTGAAATGGTCGTCTGACCCCAAATGGGGTCCCAACCCACAGGTTGAGAACCACTGAACTACAGAGTACAAATTGCAGCAAAGTAAAATAATATGAGTACACAAAGAAAAGGTGTACATGGGAGAATTGTACATTTCAATGGACATTCTTTATATGGTAAGTTTTCAGGTGTATATGCTTTCTGCTGAATTTTGTAAGACCAGGCTAAAGTCTCTCTCTCTCTTAACCTAACCCAGGGGTAGGCAACTTCGGCTCTTTTATGACTCGTGGACTTCAACTCCCAGAACTCCTTCAGCTCCCAGCTATGCTATGCTGACTCAGGAATTCTGGAAGTTGGAAGTCCACGAGTCATAAAAGAGCCGAGGTTGCCTACCTCTGACCTAACCTATCTCACAGGGTTGTTGTTATGGAGAAAGTAGGAGGCCAGAGTATTAGTTATATTCGCCACCTACCGCTTGATACTTATATTCCTGTTATTCATATATTCATAATTAGTCATAAGTTGAGGACTACCTGTATAGATTACCAATTTACTAGAACTCTGAATCATGACCCTGTATTTTTCAATCATGAAGAAAATTGGAGAGATGCTTCTTAGGGCAACGTTTTTGTACAGGCTGTTTTTTCAAGCCTGCTGTTCATGATCTCCTTTTATTTTGCTGTGAAAAAAATATCTTTATTTCCTTCTGTTCTTTTTTTGTGTGCACCCTCTAAAAATAATAACTGCAAAAGGAAATATAATTTCAGAAGCGATAAATTGCACCACTACCCACTGGTGCTTACTTTGTTTACCTTATGTAGGCAATGACCTTTTCTTTTTGAGCCTTCTTGTGCTTCTCCCATTTCTTATTCTTTAAAAAAGCTAACTAATTTCCCAGGATCCAATGACTTATTACAACTATTATAGTAGTATATGTTCCTTGCCTAGAAAGACATGGTTTATAATCTTATTATCTGCACCAAGCCTGTGAACCACAATACAACCGACAGACAGAGGCGAGGCAAGGCTTTGCAAACTATGTGTTGAATTAACCAGTCGAAAAAACTAAAAAGCTTTCATTTTTGTTTTATTAAAGTATTTAGAATATATATAACACAGTAAATCTGAACCATAAGGTTTCCTTTTTATAGGGTTTAGTTACTCTATTTTATAGTTAACAATAAAAACTAGCTAAACATTAAAATGTTTGACCTTCGCATGGTATTCATGAAACGGACCCAGATGATCACTTAATGCTGACAGTGATCTCTTTTAGCTTGACAATGAACATGCGTGCTTCAGTGTGCCATGTATGTTTCAAAACTATACAATTAGCTCTGGGGAATAAGAGAAGAAGGCAATAAGATTTAAGAGAGAGGCACTTTAATCTTCCAATCTAGGAAATAAACACTTTCAAAGCAACTATACCAAATAAATTATGACTTTTGTAAACTTCCTCTTACTTATTCTTGTTTCAGAGTCAAGGCAGATAGGAGATTCAGAAAAGCTGGATTGTACATCCCAGATATTACCAAATCCATTACTGGACACATTACAATGGGATGCTACTTCTGCCAACCTATTGTTTCAACAAAGCCTCTCAAAGGAAATCTATCCATGTACAAGAACTTTGTTGCCTCTTGCTGAACTAAGCATACTATTAATAGCTGGTCGTATTTTCCCATATTATCCTCTCTTATGGACTGACTGTGGTAATCACCTACAGAAACATTCTCTAACATGACACCATCCAGATACGTTGGAATGGTAAATACTAGCAAGCAAATTCGCTAGAATTTGGAGAGTTTCAATACATCTTAAATGTGTGAAGGTAAGAAAGGTTCCTCTAGGGCAGAGGTCCCCAACCTTTTGGGAACTAGGGACCAGTTACGTGGAGAGAAGTTTTTCCATGGACCAGAGAGTGCATGGTTTTGTGCTGCCTGCATCCTACAGATGGGGCTTTGCTTGTTTGTGCGAACCGATTGCTGGCATACCCCAGCCCGGTACTGGTCCACGGACCGGGAGTTGGGGAACCCTGCCGTAGGGTAGTTTATTCCAAACAGATGCTCTTGAATTCTGCAGATTTCAATTTCCAGAATCCCAGACAACATGGCTGTTGGTGAGGTCAAGACAATATATCAGGAGATTGCCCAAACTGGCAAAACTGCTCTGGAGTTCGGAATTATACGGAATCATTATACAATAAGAATTATCGTTAAGTACTAAGCATCTTCCTACCATAATTGCTTTTCAATTTTAGTTCTAAAGCCCCAAGTGTCTTTTTCACCATTAAAAGATATACAGTGATGCTGTGCTTGCCTCCCATGGATTCTAAGTTGACAATGTAATTTTCATACAAAAGGACCATCTGTATCTGTCCCACCTTGACAGACAAACTCAATTAACCTTTGCTATTCTTTTCCAATCTACCCTTTTAGACAAAAGCAGTGATCCACAAACAATATGTTACCTTCAGAATCTCAACCACTGTGACACTAAGAGATATAGTCCTATCAGCAGTATTGGAAAATAAACAACTTAGATTAGTTTCTCTAAGAAATATGGATTATATTCATGTCACACTTGAGCTGTCAGAAACATTAGGTTACTTTTAGCATAAATCTGCGTAGCATAGTGTACGATATGCTGTCTGAATGGCAAACCAGAACGGATTCAAGTTGCTGACATAATTCAACTACGTTAATATTAAATCCAATGTTTAAATTATAGCTGGCTGGCTTATAGATTAGTCATGACTAATTTAAAAACAAGGTTGACATTCAATTAGTAGAACATCTCTTGACAACATTCTATAATTCTGTTTCATATGGGAATAAACAATCTACACAAGACTTTTCAAGTCTGTTTTGAACCAGTTCAAACAGATCATTCAGCAGAAATGATCCAGCTGACATCCCCTACTTAATTATTGCTATATAGCTTCTCCTCTCACTTGGGAGAGTTAGACAAATAAAGAAAGTTCCTTCTGTGGCTTTTTTACCATTATGCTGAACAAATCAATATGAATCTTGGCTTGCGTTTTTCTCAATAAGCTAGAGCCAATTTATAGTTCTTAACTTATGACTATCATTTATAGGGGAAAACAAGCCTGGTTTGGAAATAATGCTAAAGCAGCGCTTCTCAACCTGTGGGTCGCGACCCCATTTGGGGTCGAACAACCATTTCACGGGGGTCGCCAAACAACGCAATCCGACATTTTTTCCCCCTTTTCCTTAGCTCTGCTACTCCCTCTTATTCTATTGGCTTTCGAAAGCCAATAGAATAGACTCTCTTGAACAGAGTCTAATTCTATTGGCTTTCAAAAGCCAATAGTAATTGTCCAGGGCTGTCTCTGACCTGCTGAGCCCGCCAAAAGCCCCAGTCTGCAAACGGTGCTGCAAGGGGAACAGTCTGCACAGCTTCCCTCCCTGCTGAGCAATTAAAAAGTAAGTAAAAGAGGGCCGGGGGTGGGAGGCCGGTGGGCGCAGGAAGGGTTGCTGGCCCGTGTGGGGCCCGGCAGGTGCCTTACCTGCCTTGGGCTGGGCCAGCTGGTGGCCCACCCGGTGGTCGCCCTGCGCCACCGCTGCCGCAGCCACCCGGGAGCGCCTGGGCCTGCCTGCCGCCACCCCGAACGGGCGGCGGCCAAAGTAAGCCTAGCGGGGCAGCGGCGGGCACAGGGAGGGTTGCTGGCGTGTGTGGGGCCTGGCAGGTGCCTTATCTGCCTTGGGCTGGGCCAGCTGGTGACCCAGCCAGTGGTCACCCTGCGCCACCGCTGCCGCCTGGGAGCGCCTAGGCCTGCCTGCCGCCGCCCCAAATGGGCAGCGGCCAAAGTAAGCCTAGCGGGGCAGCGGCGGGCGCAGGGAGGGTTGCTGGCACGTGTGGGGCCTGGCAGGTGCCTTCCCTGCCTTGGGCTGGGCCAGCTGGTGGCCCAGCCGATGGTCGCTTTGCGCCGCCGCTGCCACCCGGGAGTGCCTGGACCTGTCTGCCACCGCCCCAAACAGGCAGCGGCCAAGGTAAGCCTAGCGGGGCAGCGGTGGGCGCAGGGAGGGTTGCTGGCATGCGTGGGGCCCGGCAGGTGCTTTACCTGCCTTGGGCTGGGCCAGCTGGTGGTCGCCCTGCCTGCCGCGGCTGCCCAGGAGCGCCCCGGCCTGCCTGCCGCCGCCCCTTGCCGGCTATGCCTCAGCCGGCGCAGGGGGCGGCACCACGCATGCGCGGCGCTCCCGGGCCTGTAGTCCTCGATTTACGACCGGGGTCGTGGCTATAAAAAGGTTGAGAACCACTGTGCTAACGCAAACCATAGATGGGACCATTTGGTCTGGTTTAGCAATGTCAACTGACAAGAAAAACCAAAACCAAGTAGGAGAAATTAACTAGTGTATACCAGCACATCTGCTCATTGGACCGCTGGTTCCATCTATTTCTGTTATTTCAGTCGCAATGTTTTTACCCTCTCCTTGACTTTAATCTTGGACCTTGGTCTAGCACACTATTTTTATGAAATATTCTGTGTAAGCATTAGGTAAAAGACAAAGCTACTGGAATAATTTTAATTTGATTTGAAGGATTTAGTACAAATTGTTCAAGGACCTGAAGAACTGCTGCTTTTCAGGTTTAGACAGAGAATGTGGGGCAAACTGTGGCCTTTAAGTTCCTTTGCTGAAATCCTTGGAACCCACCCCCAAGCTACGAATGTTGAAAACGCAACCATACCACTGGTGTTAGTGCTGATTGCAAAAAACACGTTCTTTGCTTCAGTGACTATAGTACAGGTAATCCTTCATTTGTTTAATGACTATTCAAAGTTACAACGGCACTGAAAAAAGTAACGGTTTTTCACACTTACTACCGCTGCTGCATCCCTATGGTAACATGATCAAAATTCAGATGCTTGGCATCTGACTCATATTTATGACGGTTGCAATGTCCCAGGGTCATATGATCACCTTTTGCAATCTTTTGACAAGCAAAGTCAGAAAGCCAGATTCACTTAACAGCTGTGTTACTAATTTAACAACTGTGGCAAGAAATAGCAATAACAATAGCATTTAGATTTACCGTGTTTCCCTGCAAATAAGACCCGGTCTTATTTTTATTTTTTATTTTGCCTCCAACAGATCTTAGTGCTAGAGGTGAGTGTTTTCCACTCACCTCTAGCACTGACAGCCCCGCCCAGCTGGCCCACTCCTTCTGCGGCTGAAGGAGCAGCTTCATTCTGCAGCTGAGAATGGAGCTCCGGCCTGCATTTCGTGGTCAAAGGCTTTTCCGGAAGGCCACTGCAGCTATGGATTCAATCCATAGCTCAATTCTCAGCTGCAGAGGCCTTTCGGAAAGGCCTTTGACTGCAAAATGCAGGCCTGGAGACGCCACAGAAGAAGTAGGCCGGTGAGGAGAGGTCTGGCTGCAAAGTAAATGGGTGTGGGCCGTGTGGGGTAGCTCCACACACCCCACCCTAGCTTGATTTTTAGGTGTGTGCCTTGCCCCAAAACTAGGGCTTATTTTTCGGATAGAGCTTATATTATGCCCATCCCAAAAATCAAGCTAGGGCTTATTTTCGATGTAGATCTTACTTTCTGGGAAACACGGTATATACCACTTCATAGTGCTTTACAGCAGAGGCCCCAACGTTTTGGGCACCAGGGACTGGTGGAGAGTCTGTGGAGAGAGTTTTTTTCCACAGACCTGAGAGGGCATGATTTTGCGTGCTGCCTGCATCCCATGGATGAAGCTTCGCTTGTTTGCATGGCTTGGTTTTTGGCATGTCATGGCCCAGTGCCACTCCACGGACTAGGGGTCCTGCTTTACAGCCTTCTCTAAGCAGTTTACAGAGTCAGCATATTCCCTCCCCAACAATCTGAGTCCTCAGAAGGATGGAAGGCTGAGTCAACCTTGAGCCATTCAGAATCAAACTCCTGGAGTGAGCAGTGAGTTAGCCTACAGTGCTTCACATTCAAACCACTTTGTCACCATGCTCTTAAAGGTCGTAAAGTTGTTGTTAAGTTGTTAAGTGAATCACTGCAGTTGTTAAGTTAGTAACATGATCATTCACTGGAGATTTTTAAGAAGAGACTAAACAGCCACTTGTCTGACATGGTATAGGTTCTCCTTCTTGAGCAGGGGGCTGGACTAGAAGACCTCCAAGGTCCCCTCCAGCTCTATTCGATTAAGTGAATCTGGCTTCCCCATAAACTTTGCTTGTCAGATGGTCGCAAAGTGTGATCACATGACCCCAGAGCACCACAATCATCATAAATATGAGTCAAGCATCTGAATTTTGATCATGTGACCCTGGGAATGCTGTAACAGACGTTAAATGTGAAAAACGATCATAAGTCACTTTTTCAGTACTGTTGTAACTTCAAACGGTCACTAAATGAACTGTTATAAGTTGAGGACTACCTGTGCTAATAACAGCAGCTAGGTCTCTACGATTGTTCAACAAACCATGGTTTAAAATCTTGACTTAACATTTCTATATACATCTCTTAAACTAGCCTTTCCCTATGTTGGATCTGCAATTTTCACGAATTTACACGGTTATGGAAGACCTTGCTGAAGGAACAAGTACTTCTGATCCTCGCCCATTATAAGGATTTTATAGATTTTGTAAAAGAGCTTTGGACCAGCATCCTCAGCCATTAGGGATGAGGGGCACTATAATAGGGCCTCTCATGCAGTCAACCTCTTCAATGCGCTACTACCCTCATGTCTAGCATAGCCACCTAAATCATTTTAGGTGACTCCCACCTGAGGTGAGCTTTGAGGGTAGAGGTGATGGGAGTAGCATCTTCTTAGCTGAGATAGCAACTACATTCAGTCATCACATTCCAAAGAGCTTAAATGATGCCTGAGTTTTCTTAAATCCTTCACACACAAGTTGTTTAGGTCAACAAGCTCAACGCCCCTTGCAATTAATAATGTAATATACCTGTTGGTACACCCAATTAATTTTTCCCTTTAGCCTTCCATGGCAGCTACTTCATATTGTCTTCCCAAACACTGCCACAGGAAGGAAATAAGAACAGAGGCCCCTGAAAAGGTAAGTGGTAATTTGGGAACAAAATGTTTTTAAATATAAAGCTTTAAAGACATGTGTAATTCATATATAGGCACTATCGTTGCCTGAAGCCTCTGAACAGCCTTTTCCTTTACCATATTCTTGTCAAGAAGGGAAAATGCTTACAGTATCTCCAAACTTTAAAAGGTCATCTGCCTGAGACTTGACGCCTCTTCCTGAGAATCACGTTCTTGTAAAAGGCATTACAATTCGTCTTTGGGCTGCTTTGAAAAACAGCTTTTCCTAGTTGGATAAGTCCCTAAATGCATGAAATGTAATCCACTCCAAGGCTGAAGGCAAGTGGTAGGATAGACGCCCTGCAGCAGGAAGGCCCAGGTTGTATCTCCAGAGGGAAGTAGGAAAAAATTCAGACCAAAACGCCAAAGAGCTGCTGCCAATCATATTAGACAGAGAAATGGTCTGCATCAGTGCGTCATACAATTTATTTAATACTTTTCGGGCTGCTGTCTTTTATTCAGTGGGTTTATATCCAAGTAGAGTTCCCACCAATGCAAGCCATTTTCATAATAAACGTAAGATAATGAAACAACGTGGCAAGTCTTTATCCAGAGAAACAGTTCTGTTATTCATTTATTCTGCACAAGATTTTTACCCTCCTGTTTTTCTGCATACCAATTCTGTGGAGTCCGGTAGGGTGAGCAATGGTCGAAAGTTTAACCAATGTGCTTCATGGCTAAGTGCGAATTTAAACCAATATCCTCAGTTCTGGTCAAACGCTCCACTACTAGTTACATTTATGTAAAAATACAAAACCAGTAACAGCAAAGAGAACGACTCCTGAGATGCTGATAAACATAGATTCCCAATAAATCTCAAGACAAAATCTTAATTAACATTTACCTATTTTGAGGAGGGAAGAACCTAAGAGAATGACAATTCTGTGCTTGTCTTTTTTTAAAAAACACATCCGCTCCTCCCTAGATATGTTGAACTACAATTTCCACCATCGCTTACAATTAGCAATAATAACTGGGAATAATGGCAGTTTTAGCCCCAAACCCCTGGGGAATATCAACTTAGGGAAGATGTCATGTGCTTTGAACCTGTAGAGCCACAGCAATTCCAGTGATTCTCAATGAACTCAGAACAATCTTAATCCATCAAACAAGGCCATGCCTTTACTCATTTATACTGTACCTGCCACTGGTTTCCTGACTGGCTTGACATGTAAGTTGTTGGGAGGCTTCGGAGGCTGCTCTTAACAGGTGACCCTGTCAGTGGGCTTCCCATATCACCAGAGGTGGTTTCAGTGGCCACAGCCATTTGATACTGAGAATAGTTGTAAAGGTTGTTGTAATAAGGATACAGGGATGGCTGGTATAAACTACTGTAGTAGGTGGGGTCCATAACTAAGTCAGATGTGCTCTCCAGATGCCCTCTGCTGGCCAGGGATGGAATGTCTTGAATCAGCATCCGTCCTTCTGTAAAAAGAGAAAGGGAACAAAAAAGAGAAAGAATACAAGAAAGAACCAATTATTAAGCAACAGAAGCAACCTGAAAAATCTGCATTTTATCCCTTGGTGCATTCTGGACTACAGAATGCAATGCAAAGCAAAAGAAAGTACAAGGGAGCAGCAACTGAAACGAGGATGGAAATAGTAGAGGAATGAGATCAAAATAAGTCTTTTTCTACATTATCAAGTTATTTTCTACATTATGCCACGAGGGGAAAAAAGTCATAATTGTCCATTCATAAAAAAGCATTTAGTGTTGCCAGTCCTCCTGCACAGCTCAGTTCCATTGCTACCTCTTCTTCTTCTTCTTCTTCTTCTTCTTTTTGATTTACCATCTTTATGTCCTGCTTTTGCAACTAGAGTGGAGTCAATTATAGTAAAATTTAGATGGATAAGCAGATTATTTGTCTTCACACCTGAGAGCCAACACCCTGTATAGTACCTGGTTCCACATCACTGACTGCGGCAGAAAAGGGAAGACATGTACACATAGTTCTTCACTCATGACCGTAACAGAGCCCATGATTACACTCGTGAATCATTAAGGTCTTACGTCAAGGGACCCTGGTGACCAGAAGAATTTTTTTTTTTTGTGTGGCAGATGTTAAACAAACATCACAGTCATTAAGCAAACTCCAGGTTGTTAAGTGAACCCATTCATTTGAACGGGCAATTTTTGTGGGAAACTAGCAAAAAACATTGCAAATCACTGCGACATAACCATAGAATGTCATCATGGGTTGTAAAGCTAACCCACCCAATATGCGCCCATGTGACTGTGGAGGGGGGGCAGTGAACCATTTAAAATAGACCACAAAGCACTCGTTCTGTAGCTATCATAAATTCAAACAGTCATAAAGCAGTCAATAAGCAAGGACTATCTGTAGATATTCTTCAGTCCTCAAATTGCATTTACACACAGAAGCTAAAACTTATTGGAATATAATTAGAACATGGATAGAAAAGATGATACAACAACGTATAGAACTAAGACCAGAAATATTCCTGTTGGGTATTCTACCAGAGAAATACAATAAAGAGAAAACATATTTAATTATTCATATAATCACGACAGCCAGGATTGTGATTGCACAAAATTGGAAAGCACTGAAAGCCCCCCCAGAGAGAGAGGTGATTGGGAAAATACTGGAATGTGCAGAAATGAATAGACTAACAATGACAATTAAAGATAAGACAGAGTCAGACTACTATGAAATCTGGGGAACTTTTTATGATTGGCTGGAAAGAGAATATGGTTAAAAAATAGTTAACATCAATTTAGATGGAAGAAGAAGGAGAAGGAGGGAGACCCAGGCAACACAGTATTGAATAACTGGAGGTTGTATAAATATTTATAGAAGTATATACTGAGAAGGTTAGATAAATAGAAGTATTAATGTAAGAGAAAATTAATCTTATTGTATATAATACAGATAGGGAAATTTGGAGAGAGGAGTTGCTCGGACATTACCCCTGAATTGTATCTGAAGAGGGATGAGAGGGAAGAAAGGAGAGGAGAGAGAAAAGAGTGAAGGAGGGGAGAAGGAAGTAGGAAGGTTGGAGGAGAAGAGAAGTGGGGAGAAGTGGTGAAGGAAAGAGGAGAGGAGAGGAGAGGAAGAAGCGGGAAGTAGGGAAGAGAAAAAAGGGAAAAAGAAGATAGAGAAGAAGGAATGTGGATACAGTGAAAGGGGAAATGGGCGAGCAACACCAAAAGTCATGTGTATGTATTTATTTCATTTTATCAAAAGTATCTTATATATGAATGTAAAAAGAATGTGTGTTAACATCTGATAAATATCACGGTATATGTATGGGGGAAGAGTTTGGAAAAATAAAAAAATTAATGCTGAAAAAAAAATTGCATTTCCACACGTGGCTGTGGATGATAGGAAGTTGTAGCCCAGGACCTAAAGAAGGAAGCACTTACCTGTGCAAAAAGGGCTGTCTTGGACATTCTCCAAAAGTAGAGCAATGGAACTCCCCTTGCTCCCCTTTCCCTAACAAGTGAGACTCCATATCACAATCGCAAGGAAGTATTCGTGTGCATGTTAATAAGTAATTCTGAGTCTGCACAGATAGATATGTCTTCAATTAGATTCGGCTCAGTTACTCACTGGAATTTTTGAGATGCTGTCATACTACAGTTTGATTACTGGGGCAATGTCACTCTAGAAACTGCAGTATCTTCCAAACCAGGAGGAAAATATATGGATTATACCAAATAAAAAACCCATATTTACTGTTTGGGCACAAAAAAGAAAAAAAAAAGATGACCATAGTATGGAAGGGGTAAGGCTAATACTACTAATATTACCCAAGACATTCTTCCATCACTGAAATGAATTAGGCTACAATTCTCAAGAGTGACACCATCTGACTGTAAACTGAGAAAAACCCACACAAGCCTTCCAGAGTAGTCATGGAAATTAGACTGACCACTGCATTTAAATGGACAATTCTTTCTTGCCACTGTTTGCACATTGAGGCAGCACACAACTAAGCTCTCACATGATTTATTAAAAACTGAAAGCCAACTGAGAAAACAAGTTGAGGGCTACATCATCTTGCCACATCTTTGAATCAAGCTGTATTATCATATTAGCAATGTCGTTCCTCATAAACTGTCAACAGTGAAAGCAATAATGATTTTGACAAAAAAAAAATGCCACACTTGGAATTAAATGGCTTCTACAATCAATAAACAAATCATTCTAAGCAACTGGTGGCTAATTCACTGGCTATAAATCAGAAAAGCACCAATGGACACTGCAATATTGGAAAGGAAAGGAAAGGAAAGGAAAGGAAAGGAAAGGAAAGGAAAGGAAAGGAAAGGAAAGGAAAGGAAAGGAAAGGAGAAAGGGATATATTTGCTATAGAGATTCAGAATGAAGCAACTTCAAGATGCAGCATAGACACTCTTTTTCCTTAAATTTCAAAACCTAACCGGTAGAGTTGTATATATAAAAAAGAAATTGTTTATTTGTTTATTTATTAAATTTATATGTCACCCACCATCCTGATAAGGCAACTCTGGATGGCTTACAGATCGTAAAAAAGATAAATAGAAAAGCAACTGAAAATTTAAACTATGCAAATTAAAATTTTAAAACATACAAAAAAACAGGAACCAAGAGACGGACGGTATAGGGACGAGGTCTTCTTACCCCGTCATCCACCTCCAGCAGTGAGCACCCCCCCTTGGGGGCCCAAGCCAACTAGGAAAACCAAGTTTTAATCCCTTCCAGAAGGCCAAAAGCACATGGGAGCAATTCTCACCTCTGATGGTAGAGTGTTTCACAGAGTCAGGACAACAGGGGAAAAGGCTTCTCCTTGACTCCACCTGCCAGAATGCCTTAGCAGAAGGGGGTTTGTAACAGGCCTCTTCCAGAGACACAGAAATAGGCTTAGAATTAAGGAACTGGACACTCTCATCTTCCACGTGAGCACTGAGGTCCCAGCTTTCATATCAAAATTCATTATTTTCTTTTCTTGGTTATATTTTAAGCTGCCTCTTTTTGGGAAGGAGGGATGTGGAATAGAGGATTGATACTTAAAAACCCTTCCCAAGTTATCCCTTGGAGAGAGACTGTCTAAGCCAGGGGAAGGAGTCAAGCAGATAATTAGTCTGGAATCCTTATGTGGGCACAAGAGGGCAGCCCATACTCCCCCTGAATCCAACTGAATCTTATCTAGTTTGGTCTAGGTCCAACCTTGGCTCTTTTATGACTCGTGGACTTCAACTCCCAGAATTCCATGAGTCACAAAAGAGCCAAGGTTGCCTACCCCTGGTCTAGGTGCAAACTGCCAGACTGGGAAGATTCCTGTGAAATAGGTATAAGCAATAAAGTAGTTAATTGGAACTCTTCATATGTGGAGCTGATTGTTCACACCTGACATTATCCCAAATCAGTAAGAAATGCCTAGTAAATCACCTGGAGATTTACTAGTAGATTCTCATTTTCTACATGTGCATATCAGATCTGGACAATCTTCTATTCAAAAAAGAACAGGAGCAGGCCAAGATGTTTTGTTGTATGAGGCCACTGGGAAAAGAAATAATGCTGGGTCCAGTTTTTCAGTTTAGGAAAGCAACAGTTAATCAGCATAGCTATAGAAACATAGTATGATACTGTAAATAATTCCAAGAAGATATATATAAGAGAGGGGGGAAAGTATTTTTTCATTAAATCTAGCTATATTTCAAAATACTAGAAACAATAAATATTTAACATAAGGTGCTAAAAAGGCTGCAACTGTGGAAATCAAATAATTCCAAGGCAAAAGGAAATTTTAAATTGTACAAAAATGGATGCGGAGATTCTGCATTGGTTTCCATCTTTGAAAAGGTCAGTAAAATAAAGGATTCAATTTCTAACGGTCAAGGGGATTTAAAAAAAAAAATCTCAATTGTTCTCCATGTTATAAAATCCTTAAGACAGCATCTATCCTGTCCCATACTCTCAATGAGAAATGCAGATCTTTTACACCCAGATCAATACCCCATTTGATGAATACCCTTATTGATCTTTCACTTGGACAAAAGACATCAGGAAGACAGGATATTATGAGTTGTTAGCAATCATTCATTTTTGTAGAAGGTACAATACACAAACTTTGAAAAACAAGACAGCTACGAAATCAGCTATGTTGCAAAACAAATGGCTCCTGCCACGGTACAAGATGTCCCACAAAGGAAGCTGCTGCACTTGGCTAGCAAAGTTTTTCTGCAATGACCCTGGCAGCATTTAAGAACTGGGGGCCACAAGTGAATCCAAGCTTCCTCAATTTAGCATCCTCCAGACGTGCTATATCACAACTTCAAGAATTTCCAGTCAGCATTTCTACATCTGGAGAGCACCAAGAAGGGGAAAACAGCAAAAGTGAATCTGAACACAGACATTATGCTTTATTTCCCATCCAACAAATGGGAGTCAGTCTCTACCACATAATTAAGAGCTAACATGAGC